ATCTCAGAATAGTAGTTTTAAAGGTTCATCCAATGCCAATAGCTTCAGAAAGTCAAATTCCATGAGAATTTTATATTTTGTTATGTATTCTCCCCCTTTTGACCAGGATCCTTCTGTAGAATCTTTGATCAAAATGTAGTCTTTTTGAAATACAAATCATACTGTTACTTCCCTTTTTAAGACTCTTCTATAATTCCCTGTCACATCTTAGAATTAATAAACAAAATCTTGGACACAGCCAGAAAGTACCTGCCTCTCCAGCTGGACTTTTCTCCCAGTAACCAAGTGTCCATTGATGCTGACTTGATTCTGACTTCTGGTGACTTGTATGTGTCAGAGCAGAACCGTGCTCCATAGCATTTTCCATGGCTGACTTTTGGGAAGAGATTGTCACGTCTTTTTTCCGAGGTTCCTCTGGGGAGGACTCAAACCTCTAATCTTTCAGTTGGCAGAAAGTGTTAACTATTTGTGCCACCCGGGGATTCATTTTTTTCCCCTAAAAGGACTGACTTTCTTCTAATTGTTACCAACTCTTCTGAGCAATCAAGGGTGTTTGGCAGTACAAGTCTCAAAGCCTCTATAGGGAGTGACACCTTTCAAAAGGTGACTAACTTATACCTGAAAGGAATAATTACTCCTATTTTACGTGCCTTGATGTAAGCCTTTTTCCAGTTGCTTCAGGCAGACCATTTATAGCAAACAAGGAAGCACAGAACTTGTCAAGAGAGCGTGTTAGGACGACACCTCCGTGTATGGGGAGAAAGCAGAAGTTCTGAGCATACTGGAAGGGGGTTTTTGTTTCTCTTGTTTTCAAGTCGGACTTTTAAAGCAGAAGATGCCTTTAATGTGCTGCTTTGCAGAACAGGAAAGCTGATTTTCAGTGTGATAACACATTCTCTGACATTAATCAGTACAGTCAGATATTTTAATGACACTTTCATCTTCAAAGCCCTTTACCAACACTGATGGATTAATTATTCATTTTTAGTGGTGTGGTAAGAGACAAGTCTTCAAAGCCATTATCCTTTTTCTCCTTAGAATCAGGGGCTCTCCATCTTTCAAATGTTGCTTTCCTGCCCCCAAGGGAAAAGATCATCTAGCAGTCCTTTTTTTTAAGGATAAAGAGAATACAATAGACATCTACTTTTTGCACTGTGGAAAGATGATGTCTTTATATCCTTGCTGGGATTAGAAGAGGTCGGGAAGCAGGGTTTAAGCTGTGTGTACAGTAAGCACTGTGAAAAATCATTTTGGCTAAGTGTTACCGTTCCGTCTTTTGATGTGCTCTTAAAAAGCAGTGCATAGACCGAGAGTGCTCCGCGTTCATTATTAGTTGGTGAATAAGACCAGGAGCCTTATATGTGCTGCTAAAATAGATGTTTTTGTTGTTGTTGTTGTTCTCTTAAACGTGACTGAACGGGTTTTTAAATGATTTGGTGATGGTTAAGAAGAAAGGTCCTTTTATTTCTTGGGTCCTCCTTGACTTGATACATCTTGTAACCACAAGGTGGCGATGTTTCCTTTAATGAGGGCTTCCCTTCCACCCTCTCGCAGATGGGCAACTACAAATGGTAGGTATAAATTTGTAAACACTCTAAAAGCTCTTTCCTTTAGACCTGAGCGCCAGAAACCACAAAGGCTGCAGTCAACTTTTGCTTTTCAAGGAGAAAGTCTCTGGTAAACGTTTGTTCAGCTACCAGGAGATCCTTAGGTTCCTGGGAGGAGTTGTCTCAGACCTTGGCACATTCCTGAATGCTTTGAAAACCACTCATCTCTTGAAGACCCAGAGCGGTGGATTACAGTAATTGAACAGCTTTGGTGGCTTCGGGAGATTACTTGGTGTTTGGTGTGCGCTTGCATTTCCAGGCTAGCGGACCAGGCAGAGGAACCCCTTTGTTATCTTTTGAAATAAGAAGATCAGAGGGGAAGACAGGGTTTGAAATGTGGATTAGGAAGTCCTAAACCTTTACCTACCACCTCAGCCTGAAATCTTCATAAAAAGATTGAGGCCTGCAATGACTTTCGGAGATCATGCCAAGTTGCCTTGAAGCCTGTCCTAAAATTTAGCTTCAGGACCCAAAAACTTCTCCCAAAACAGACCTGGTGGTGGCGGACCGTCTGAACCGACCAGCCTCTACTGAGAGATTAATTTCTTGTTGGCTTTCCAGCGAATGATGGAGAAACGTAGACATGCTGCACTGCTGACCACCTTACCCTACCATCTGCGCACCGTCCCCACGGGCATACCAGGGACCCTGCCGCGCCTCCCCCTGAGGGACCCCTTTAGGGTCTCCTTCCAACTGGATGGCACTTGCTGGGACCGTGCACCTGGGGGCTACCCGCGGAGACGACCTTACCTGCCCCTGCAGCTTCAGGGCGCCTTCGAGCCCGCCTTCCTCCGCAAGCGCAACGAGCGCGAGCGGCAGCGGGTGCGCTGCGTGAACGAGGGATACGCTCGTCTTCGAGACCACCTGCCCCGGGAGCTATCGGACAAGCGCCTGAGTAAGGTGGAGACCCTCCGCGCCGCCATCGGCTACATCAATCATCTCCAGGAACTCCTGGAGCGCCATGCCCGGGGGCCCGAGGGTCCCACCGGCGCGGGCCCCGAGCGCAGGGCCGATTGTAACAGCGATGGCGAGTCCAAGGCGTCCTCGGTGCCCTCGCCCTGCAGCGAGCCCGAAGAGGGGGCCGGCTAGGGGTGCCGCGGGCAGCCCCCCTCCCCCTGCTCATCCTGCGCGCCACGCCCTGGCGGCTGCGGTCTCAGGTTCTCTCCCGGGCCATGGCTTCCGTAGTTCATTCACGTTCTGTCCCTGGCCTCCGTTACAGGAAAAAGAAATGGTTGTTTCTAGGGTAGAAGGTATTTTGACATTTGGTTGTTTTTGCCTCTTTAATTGGTTCCATGCCTGTAACTTCATGGTGCTTGCTGTCTAGTACTGCTCAAATGCAAAGTTTTGGTTCATTTTCCTGTGAATGTTTGGGTATGTGGAGGAGGGAAGGGCCAGAGGATGAAGAGATTGGGAGAACCTAGTTGTCAAACTTTACGGGGAGTTATCAACTGGAATGTCTCAGTTATCAACTGGAATGTCTCACCCATTTTTTTTTTAGGATGTGGTTAAATGATACATTATAGGATAAGCACTTGAGTGCTAACCTCAAGGTTGAAGGTTCAAACCCACCAGCCGTTTCTGGGAAACCCTATACAGGGTCGTTATGAGTTGGAACCAACTCAAGGACATTTCACAACAACAATGGATTGAAATACATCTAACCTTAATCAAAGAAGGGACTACAGATAAGAGGAACATTTGCCTGCATTCCTTTCCTTGGGAATTGAATTAGGAATTTGTCACCCGTTTGGGTGAAGGGAATGAAACTGGTCCTCGAGCGCCAATTTCAGATTCCTGGTCAACCAGACTTCAGTGCGTGGTATTGACTGAACATGTGAGCGGTGGCATTGAAGAGAATACACTGTACTTGATACATTCGATTTTATCACAAAAGTGACCACAGAAACTTTATACCATTTAGCAGATCAATAAAATATGTTATTAACCTTTGTGGAAGAGAACCCACAGATGTATGAAAACAGGTTTCCCTTCTGTTACTTTTGACTCACTTTTTAAAAACCTTTCCCTTTTCTTGACATTCTTTGTAATTCTCATTCCTAAACACATATAGTTAATTAAAGTGACACTTTGACTCAAAAAGAGTTGGGAATACTTCAAAGTATATTTTGATGGTTGTACGGGATGGGGAAGGATGTGGGGTAAGAGATGTGAACAAGGTTGGTACAGCTCACACATTTTTTTTTCCACCCTGAGGGTTTCCAAGTGAAATTCCCTAAGGACTTGGCTGTGTTGTTCCAGTCTTTAAGAAAATATTTAATTTGGAGGATTCTTTTTCTGAGAAATAACTACGAATTCAGTAGATAAGTCAGCTCCTTGTGGACATAGGAAAATAGATTTCCCTCTGTCTCAAAAATGTTTCCTAATATGAACTGCTCTTTAAATGTGGGCATCTTTGATATTCTGGGCAAGATGGAAATGGAAGAGAGGAAACCAACATAGGAGAATTCTTTCCAGCTAGGATTTCAGTTGATCCTCACACTAGCCCCACCTAATCCTCCATGGCAGTGGGTGTTTGGTTTTCCAGGTGTGACAAGAGAAGGAAGCATACATATCAAGCATTTTGTTGCATACTTTTAAAAAATTAAAATGTTCTGTTGCTATAAAGCTGTAAAGGTATCACACATTTTTTGGTTAAAAAAAATGAGAGAGGCTCAGAGGCATTATACACCTTGTCCAGGTTAGCATTGCTAGGATTTGTTGTTAGGTGCCATCATGTAGGTATCAAAGCATAGCCACCCTATGCACAACATACACAACGAAACACTGCCCGATCCTGGGCTAGCCTCACAATTGTTGCCATGCTTGAGCCTATTGATGCTGCCACTTTGCCAATCCATCTCACTGGGGATCTTTTTCTTCTTCTCTGACCCTCCACCTTACCAAACATGATATCCTTCTCCAGCGACTGGTCCCTCCTGGCAGTATGTCTAAAGTATGAGAGATGAAGTTTGGCCATCCTGGCCTCCAGGGGGCGCTCTGGCTGCACTTCTTCCCACACAGATCTGTTGGTTCTTTCAGCAGCCCATGGAACTTTCAATAGTTTACATTCAATCCTGAATCTTCTGACTCCCAAACCAGTTGTCACCAAATCAGAGTCAATTCATGACAACCCAATGTGTGTCAAAGTAGAACTGTGCTCCCTAGGATTGTAATTGGCTGATTAGTTCAAAAGTAGATAGGCAGGCTTCTTTTTCTTTTTAGGGTGCCTCTAGGTAGATTCAATGTTAGGCATTTGCAGCAACAAATGTTGTTGTTAGGTACCATCAAGTCAGTTCTGACTCACAGTGACCCTACGTACAACAGAATGAAACACTGCCCAGTCCTGCGCCATCCTCACCAACCCTTTCTATGAAGGGGCCCGTTGTTGTAACCCCTGTACCAATCCATCTCCTTGAGGGGCTTCCTCTTTTTTGCTGACTCTGCTTTACAAAAGCATGAGGCCCTTCTCCAGAGCCTGGACCCTCTGTATTACATGTCCAAAGAACATGAGACGAGGTCTCGCCATCCTTGCTTGGAGAGTAGAGGCCGACTAGAAATGATGAGCATTCTAGGAACAGGTCCTGGAAGGCATTAAAAACCAGGCTAAAAAGTTCAAATTTTCTTATGCAGGCAAAGGAGAGCTATTGGGGAAAAAAAATAATAATTTGGGGAGGGGAAAAGGTATAATGTTCAGTGCTGTGATTGAGATTACCCTGTGGGTAGGATACAACCATTGTTGTTGTTATGTGCTGTGGAGTCGGTTCCGACTCATGGTGACCCTGCACAGGGTTTCCAAGGCTGTAAATCTTTAACGGGAGCAGAGCGCCTCCTCTTTCTCCCGCGGAACCGCTGGTAGTTTCAAACTACTGACTTTGCGGTTCACAGCCCGATTCGTAACCACTACGCTACCAGAGCTCCTTATGGACACAACAATAGAATTGTGAAATTGGTGTTATAAGGTGCCTTCGAATAGGTTCCAACTCATAGCATTTCCAAGGACTGGATGGTGACTTTGAACCACCAACTTTGTAGTCAAACCGACCTTGCATTCCAGCGCATTAACCCGCAACACCACTCCAGGACTCCTGTGTAATCATTACGAGAGAGGAAGTGCACACTTTAACAAAGACAGTGGCAATGGGACTGGAAAGGAAGGGTTGAATTGTAAAACAGCTTGTAGGTAGAATTGGCAAGTCGGAGTATGGGGCCAGTAGATGAGTAAAAGGGAGATTTTAAAGACAACTACAGTATTTGGAGCTCTGGTGAACTCCCATTAACCAAAATTAGAAACAGAAACATATGTAATAGGTACAAGTTTTCCTTTGGAGATGTTGAGTTTAAAAGGCTCATATGCGACTGCTGCCCACAAACCTGGCCATGCTGATATCAAGATCAGAAGAGAGGTCAATACACATATGGGTAGTAATAAGAGTAGATGAGACCACCACAGGAGAATGTTGCTGAGAACAGAGAAGAAATCTGGGGGAGGCCTACACTGAAGGAATGGCAGCAGAAGAGATGTCTTTGGGGAGCACTAAGCATCAGAAAAAAGTATGACAAGTTGGAATGAGAATCAGGGGAGTGTGAAGTTATTGTTGTTTAGTGAGTGCTGTTGAGTCAGCTCCGACCCATAGCGACCCTGTATAGGATTTCCAAGGAATGGCTGGTGAGCTTGAACTGCCAACCTTGTGGCTCAAACCGACTTTGCAGTCCAGCGCATTAATCCACAGCACCACACCAGGACCCAGTATGAGATGGTTATAGTGTGCCGTGGAGTCGGTTCCGACTCATAGAGACCCTGTATAGGGTTTCCAAGGCCGTGAATCTTTACAGGATCAGAAATCCTCATCTTTCTTCTGGAGAACGGCTGGTAGTTTCGAACTGCTGACCTTGAGGTTAGCAGCCCAAGATGTAACCACTGTTCTGTCAATTCAGTGACACAAAAAGGAGTTCTGGTGTGAATCATTGTCATTGCCCAAAATGACAGCAGTCTACTTGTCACAGTGGAAGTGAGACTTGGGATGGGCATATGGAGCCACAGAATCCTTCTGCGTAGAGAGTGCACTCAGAAGGCAGGCCCCAATGTTGGGCATGCTCTCGTGACCGTTCCCTTTCAGTCATCATCGGCCCTTTCATCTCCACCTCAGCTAGACATGCTGCTGGGTGAGGGCAGAGGGCCTGAGGTGGTTTTTAATTTTCTTTATCGGGCCTTGAAACCATAGAACTGTTTCCAGCTCTTTGATTATTATCACTGTGTTGTGTCCATGTGTTTTGTTAGCATTCTCTCTGGGTGGTGAGATTGGTTTTTAATCCTTCCCTAGCAATTTAGCAGCATCCTTTGGTGAAGAGCCATCGGTGGGTTTTTCATGTTGGGTTACTCACTGTCATTAACCATGGTCAAAGTGAAACCACAGATGCCGCAGAAGGAAGTCTATCCAGGCTGTAAAACTCTCCAAACTGGTTTTCCCATAGAATAGTCCTTGAGGAAACCACTCCTGAAGATGGGTACCATCTTCGACAGCAGTAGAAAGAGCTCTAAAGCAGGAGCCCTATCTCAGTCATAAAACTAGAAAGGGCCTTGGCAAATGACCCAACCTGACTTGGGAATGTTAGTGAAATGCGGGATTGAATTCTGATGTGGTTAGGGTTGCTGTTGAGGCGACTCCAAATCACTCCTTTCCCACAGATTTGGGCAGATTAAAATGACGAGATAACTTACAAGGAACCCTGGTAACACTTTATGATAAGCAGTGGACTACTAACGCCAGGTTGGCAGTTCAAGCCCACTAGCTGCTCAAGGAAGAGCGGTGATGCTTTCTCGTCTCTTAAGGGTTGCTATGTATCAGAACCAACTCCATGGCACATAACAACAACAACAACAACAAATAGATGTATAGCCTCAGAAACCCTATATAGGGCTGCTGTGAGTTGGAATCGACTTGATGGCAGTGAGTGAGTTGTTGTTGTTAGGTGCCGTCGAGTCGGCTCTGCCTCATGGCGACCCTGTCTAGGGTTTCTGAGGAATGGCTGGTGGGGTTGAACCACCAACCTTGTGGTTCAGTGCATTATCCTGCATTGCCACACTAGGA